TTAATTAGAGACTCAAAAATGATTAACTTAGTATAAAAAAAAGTTTTCTTTGGACAATCACTAGAAAATTTCTCCTTTCACACCTATAGTAATTTATATATAGAATCGCGTCATGTTTCACTATGATCATTCTTCAGTTGACTCAAATAAATATACAAGGTTTCATAAGCAAGCTCTCTACCTATAAACTTGAATAAAAATTTTAGTCCCAAAGAGGCTAGTTATAAAAAAAAATAAATAAAAATAATAATACCTTCTGCTAAGCTGTTAAAATTGAACCAAAAATATGTAAAAAGATAGTTGTTATACAAAAATAGATTAGATTTATTTGATATTTTAGTTTTAATAATATATATAATGCTAATATTATAGTTAAAATAGTAATTTTGCTAGATTTCTCTTTTAGTAATTATATTGAAACTATAAATATTATATGTTGCAATATTAAGATATAAATCTCTAATTTGGTTATAATTATAATTAAAAGAATTATAAATAAAAGTATAGTTTGTAGATATTAATTAAAAATAGAGTAAATAAGCTTGAAATATTATTAGTAAGATTTTGCAATAATGAAAATAGATCTGCAAGTAAAAATTTAAATTTTTTATTAGAAATTATAAGTAATAGAATTAGTGATATGTTTTTTATGATTTTAAGAAATATATTGTATTATCTAATGTTAATAATAAAGGGAATGTCTATTTCCACCATGGTATTTTGCTATTTCTATCATGATTACACAAAAATTACTATTTTTAGCATTTAATATAGAAAGTATAATAAATTAATATAAAAAATTAATTCGTGATTCGTCGATCAATGATAATCTATATATATTGATACTATATAAAGTATGGGGATAATAAACGAACAAATTTTATAATAAATTTAAAATCTGACAACCTTCATATTTTAAATAAGCAATTATAAAACACAAGTAGTTCAATTGCTTTCTTCAGGCTCTATTATTCAAGAATTATATTATGGACCTTTTAGACGTAACTGGTGGATATTACGAACTCATAACAAACTAAACAATGGTTTGCCAAGCTTATATCCAATTCGAATAGATATGAAAACAAGTACTCGAATTAATAATAGAGAGTTTATTAAAAGGGTTGTTCAACAAAATCAAAATAATAAAATAATACCTGGTTATATTTGTCAAACTCCTGGTTATATTTGTCCTCAAACTAGACAAGATTCTGGTTATGTTGAAAATGATTCAAGTACTGCTATTACAAACTTCTATCGATTAATTTTTCCAAATAGTTGTACAAGATTCTCAGATCTTTTAATAATGGGATTAGATAATGATAGTATTTTAAAAGAAATAATTTCAGATCTAACTTTTCAACCAGTTATTTTTTCATTAGGAAAGTTACGTATAATAATTCATACAATTGGTATTTCTAAACATGAAGACTGGAATTGGGCAGGGTCTGGATATACTGCTTCGCTTACATATGGAAAAGATAATCTACTTTACTTACAAGGTTTTGAATATGATAAATGTTATATTCAAGTATATAATAATAAAGGTTTATTAAATACGGTTTATGGAAAAGACCCAAATGATGTATAGAAAAATTTCAATGTTTTGAAAAATTATAGTAGAATACAACTTTACGGGTTAGAAGAAAGTTTGACGGATAAACTATTACAACATGCAAGACAATTAGTTTGCTTATCTAATGAATGGTCTAATGAAAGTAAAATGAGACAATTATTTGATTTTCATTTACACAAAAGAACTATAAGCAATATTAATTGGTATTCAATTTTTTGTGATTGGCAAAAATCTACTAATCCAATTATTGAGTTACATTATATATTAGCAAATATATATCCAGTAAACTATATATTTTCTGATCGAGAATTACGTGCCTGGCATGCGATGTTAAAAGCATGCGGATGTACTAAAATTACACCATTTAAAAAGGAAGAATTAAAGGTTAGATTAATTTATTATTAAATTAAATACATTATAATATTAACCAACCTTATTAATTTACTAGTATAAGTTTTGGAGTAAATCTAAAGACTATACGAAGGAAAAGGAAATATTAGCTATGCTCTATAACCTTGGATTCTTACGCAGTATACCAATTACAATGTTTAATGTAACTGAAACTTTTTGGGAATGTTTTGCACGAAGTCTAGATAATAATAAAAAAGGATCTGATGGAAAGCGTAGAATTTTATCTATAATAGCCGATCAGTTTTCATATCAAGAATTACAAAACAAACTTCAAGTAATTAAAAAATAAATACTTATTGCTAGCACAATGTATTACTCATCAAATTATTATTAACCACTGTATACAGTACTTGGGACTTTATTCAAGGACTTCATTTTTTAAATTGAATAGTACCTGTAGGTGCTGTATAAAGAACCGGGTACTATGTTTGGGGGATATATTATGAATAATAATAAATTCATACAGTTATACCTCCCGGGTACTATTTAAAGAATCAGGCCAGGAGGGTAGTGAATAATACCCGAGTCTTAATAAAGGGTATATTATTTTTAAGGATACTGTATACAGTGGCGAACAGTAATTAGGATTCAAAATTGGATATACAATATTGTAAATAGTTGTATATAAGATCTGATTTTTACTTTTTACTAATCGTAAGTTTAATTGTATAGAAATTATTATTTTATATGGGTCTAGTACTATGCAATTATATATTCACCAATACAACTATTTACAGTAATAAAATTCAAATAATTATGATTTTTTTAAAAAAATTATTTGTAATTCAGTATTTCAATTTTGAATGCCATTTTAATTTTAAAGTTATTTGATTTAATTAAGAATAATAATATATCATACTAGTAATAATTTTTATTAAAATTTTTTTTAATTTATTAATTTAACAGGTTTCTCCAAATATAATAATATCCGCTAAAATGTATGTTCGAGTAAATGGTTATAGATGTCCACCTCTTTTTAAACTACCAATGAGATGACATATTATTACTAATGAACAAGAGGCGCAATTCAAAGTATTTATGACAGACAAGACAAATGTTAACATGAGTTCCTATAAAATTCATAATAAAACTGAATTACCATTACTTTATCTTAATAATCACAAGAAGGCATTGTGGCAAAAATTTCATGTACAATATCCAAATGGAATAGGGTATACAACATTTTTTAATAAATTATATAATGGTCTATTTGTATATCGTGAAGATTTAGGAGGTCTATATTTGACTTGTAATCAATACGGGTTTGAGATGTTTCATGAATTATCAAACCATATAATAAAAGAAGTAGAAAATAATGAAAAAAAGGTAATTCTATTATTACTATAACTCCTCAAGTATAATCACCCAAATTATTTATGTAAAAATACGATCTCTATTTAGCATTATATGAATTTTTAGGTGGTTTTATTATGAAAATTATTATATTAAATTATGTATGTAGTATATATTTAATCTCTATATGTAACTAATTTGGGTAGTTATTTTTGGTTTGCCTTATTACTATATTCTGTTATACATAAATGTCCAATTAACTATATTTAATATTAGGCATATTATATTCAAAAAATTGAAATGGTTCAATGATTTTTAAGACGTGAATATTGCAATCATCTAAAAGTATCTTTAACTAGTCACGTAGAACATGATATTTGTATTAATCATTGCTTACCTTATGCTTTTGGACAATGTAATCAAAAACACACAATAGAATGTGAAAAATGTTCTGAATTGTTTATTTTATTTAATCAAATCAAAACTGAACTACCTCATTCTTTTCTAACAATTGATGAATTACAAAAACAGGCAGAGTTTTATCTTTCACATTAAACCAGAAAAATATATTTGAATCATCAGTTTAATGCAAATTTGTTAGAATTAGATGAATATAGAGCAATAATCATTGTCGATTATAAAATGAAAATCTTACCTAAAAGATCTCGAGAAACAAAAGAAGATTTTTATGGAAAACGTGGGTAGGCATTGCATACAGTCTTAGTTTTTACAAAACAAAATAATAGTCAAGAACTTGATATTCATGCGTACGATCATTGGTCATCTAATACTTATCAGGATGCCTAGTTTACGGCCTCCTCATTTGATGCAGTTTTTAATTCTTTGAACCCTAAACCAAAATGAGTTATTATCATGTCAGATAATGGCCCCCATTATCATAATACAGAAATGATGCTAGTAATATCATATTGGAAGGAATGGTATGATATAGAGTGTAAAAAATAGATTTTTTTAGAGGCAGGTGAAGCGAAAACATCAATAGATAGTCATCACTCACAAGTAAGATTTTACTATATTGCCTACCTGAATGCTGCCAAGAGAAAACCTGATATCGGGCTTTCAATTATATTTTGTGTTCAGTTTGTTTACTAGGTGCCATCTAAAAAGATTCTATCAAGCTTTCAATTATATTTTGTAATAAGTTACTAAATATAACTGAAAGCCCGATGAAAGAATTTCCTAGATAGCACCCAGTAAACAAACTGAACACAAACTATAATTAAAAGCCTGATAACAGGTTTTCCTTTGGCAGCATCATCCCTTCTTTTTTTACATTTATCAATTTATATGATATATGTATAAAGATTTCCCATGTGCTTAAGCGTTATGTTCGTCTTGGTTTTGATATTACATCTGGAGAAGACATCGAAAAAGCAATAGAAAATCTTAATGGTACTTCAGTTGCTAATATAAATCCAAATCGAGCACAGCGAGCATCTATAAAAATTGGAACTATACCTGGAAATTCAGATCTTTATGAATGGTGTTGGCCAACTAAAGGTTCATCAGCTGGTTATATCTGTGCGCGTCCCTTACCTGGATTTGGTGATTGGAAAACTTGGTCTGCTATACAGTTACAAAAATGAAAAAGTTCAGAAATTGATCAACCTCAACCATGTATATCTGAACATAGTACACCTTAAAAAAACTGGACTATGCCTATTTACCGATTATCAAGTAAAAATTATATAAATACTATTAACATATGCATATTAATGCACAATTCTGAAAAGATATACGGTATACCCTCCCAAAACCGATCCTGTCAAAACCGATAACTTGTTATACCCGATAAAAAATTGATTCACTATGTCTGGTCCATAATTCAAACCCGATAACTGATACTCAAAAGATCAGATATCTATAGATATCAGGTTTGTCAGATATTATAAATCAATTTGATTGAGCTTTGTATGACCAAGTAGATATATAATAAATATAATCTAGCTAATTATATTTATTTATAATCATACGGAAACAAAAGTTGTCCACCATGTCTATCAGATTTGAAAGAGTATACTATAATAGAACAGGATAAAATCTGAGTTGTGAGCTAGTAAAATCTGCTACGTAAATTGAGTAGGATGAAATCCTATACCTTTTTATTATATAAAAGCAGATTTCACCCTCATGTAATGGTCATAGTGAATTTTACTAGCTAACAATTCAGGCTTCATCCTGTCATGATATAGTTGCTAATTTAACTTACTAAATTTATAGCTGCTGATCCAAATCAATAGGATTTGTGACAATGGACAATAAAAAAACTAAAAGAAGAGTTAATGAGCAGAAATATTAGTTATGAAGAAAAAATGGATTGAGATAAACTAGTAGAACTGTTGCAAGAATATTTGTGTAAAGAAACTTTAACTAAGCCTTTAGATGATAATAGTATTGTAGAAGAAATGGAATTAGATAGGTGTTTTTTTCTTTCTTTTTTGTTGATACAATAATTTTATAAAAAAAAACTTATTTTTATTTTTTTAGTAATTTAATTCAACAATTCCCTCTTAATACTGGCTGGGCTTTTAAACATAAACATAAATATGGACGAAAGGGGGGTGGAAAACAACTATCATAGATGTCGTTGAGATATTAAAAAGGTTTTTATAGCAGGGCAAGAGGATCCAAGTAATTGATACTCATCAAAAGACATGTTAGCAGCTTTAGAAGAAATAGTAAAAAATGAAGAGTTAATAAAAGAAGAAATTCCTACTGAAAAGTCTATTGATAGCTGGATTAGTAGATATTTTTGAACGTCAAAACAAATGATAGACAATGACGTAGATAGCGAGTAACAAAAAATCTAACAAATAGAGAATTGGATAATAAGAAAGAAGTCAATAAGTGAAATTATATATTTGAATATGAAATAATCTTACCCACCAAATTTTTTAGTATCTTAGATCTCATTGACAAATAACGAATATTAATTCACTTAGTAGTAACTTACTATCGCATTTGCTTGAATTGGCATATTATTCGAATTTGAACATTGTATTAATTTAAATAGGCAAATATGATTATATAAATTATTTATCTCAAAAAACACAGTATATATTTACCCTTTGTTGCTTTTTGCGATTAACAAGGTTGGTGTTTATTATTAAGATGATTACAATCTAAAACTATTCTAATTTCCTGTTACTACCTTTAGATTCCGGATTTAACTCTATAAAAATAACGAATCATTTATTTTATTGGTGGTCATAATTGTACTTGCATAGAATTTCTATTGATACAGCATAAAAATATTTTGATTGAATTAGTCAAAATTAACATAACTAGGT